AAGACAGACTCAATCCTGTAACGTCCTATTTGGAAAGCTAACAAAACCTTTTTGTTTCCAGAAAGTGAAACCCCAGAGAATCTTCTGGGTTGGTGGAGATACTGAGAAAAGAGATGTTCTCTAAAATCAGTGATTCCCACATAGGTGGGGACTGGCAGGGCTCCCCTCAGGTTCCTCCCCAGAGCATGGCCAGAGCAGGGACACTCTGGTTTGACATGCTAAGTGCCCCGAGTTCCCGCGGTGACCCAGGTGACCCGGCGATGAGTCCGCCCTGGTCCCTGCTGGGTAACAGCTGGGAGCCCTCCTGGGCATTTGCTGGGACTAAGCCAGACAGCACATGACACCAGGTGACATAATCAAGGCTGGGTTGGCACCCCCTCCCGAGGCCCGAGTGAGCCTGCAGCCAAGGGGAGGGGACGTCACTGGGTGCCAGGTGCTGGTGCAGGGGGAGAGGGAGCGGGCGGCCCCGGGGACCTGCGGGGTCCCGCAGGCAGAGCCACAGAGGCCAGGCCGCCCACAGCCTCCTTCCTCCGGGGCAGGGTGGGGCCCTGTGGTCTGCGTGTCTCTCTTGGGTTGGGTGGCATGCCTGGAGGGAAGGGCCAAGGCTCTCCGCTTCTGGAAGCCAAGATAAAGTGAGCACTGTGTGACCCCTCCTCGCCACTTGGCAGCTGGGACAGGGGTGGGGCACCTAACCGTCGAAGTCCTAAGATTTGGCTTCACACCCAAGTTACCCAGTGCACCAGAACCTCAATTTCCTAGTCTGTAAAATGGGGACACTAACCCCACCTAGCACAGCTGGGATGAAATGAGCACGTGGCCCAGGCTGGCCCAGCAGGGGCCACTCCTGACTTTGCCGCTTGTGTCTGGAGACACCCTGCCCCAGGGGGAAGTAAGGGGGGGGGGCAGGACGAAAGCCCAGGAGGGGGGTGTCTCAGAGATCACGCAGGATCAGGGAAGCGGGCTAGGGAGCAGCTGGTTATATAGGGGGGCAGGGGTAGGAGGTGGGCGGCGGAGCCCCCCATGAGCCCCCTGTCGCTTCTGGGGGGCACCTCCTGGGGAGAAGGCCCAAGGGAGCCGGGCCTCTGGTGGGATGGGAAGAAGGGAAGTAGCCTGGGGAGCCTGGCCCGCATGAGGGGGGTGGGGCGGTCCCAGGGGGCCCGGCTGGCGTCGGGGAGGGAGGCCGGGGGGGCCTGCACAAGCCAGGCCGGGCTGCCCCTGGGCGCTCAGGCTGAGCTCGCCTAGGCCGACATGGTTTCAGGCCTCTCGCGCACACCATGCCATCCTGCCACCTGTAAATAAAGCAGCCTGTGAATCTTTCATGGGCTTGTACTTAAAAATAGATGAGATGAGGCCTCTGGGCCCAATTCCCAGGTCTCTGCAGTGGGCAGGGCCAGGGCCGCGGGGAGGCGGGGAGGGAGGGCGAGGGCTGCCGGCCAGGGCACGTGGAGCCTGGGACGTGCGGCCCCGGACTCAGGCACCAATGGGCAACATCACCATCTGGATGTGGTTTCTGGGGCTTCTGGGTCACAGGCTGGGAGGAGGGTCTGGGAGCCGCAGAGCGACAGCCAGCAAGACCCCTCTCCTCTCCCCAGAGGGGTTTCTGGCTGGGACGTGAAGGGACAAAAGGGGACAGAGGGAAAGGTGGAGAGGTAGGGGGACCCCGCTGGACAGCGCAGGGGAGAGGAGGCCCCACGAGGAGCCAGGGCTGGAGGCCTGGTGTACGGAAGGGCTGGGCCCCCCACGTGGCAGCCCCCACGCGGCCCCTGCAGCCGAGACACGCGCGTCTGACCCCTGGGCTTGGGTCAGCAGCCCACGTGAAGCTCCACCAGCCGCCAGAGCCTCGGGTCTCAGATGAGTCCTCGCAGGTGGCCTCGCCCAGCCCCCCTCCCCAGGGACACAGGGACCCAAGAAGGCATCCCCGGGACCCCGGCCAGCAACACGGAGCCCAGAGCCAGACCCAGGTGGCCCCCGTGGCCCCCAGGTGACTTGGGACCAGCCCTTCCTTCCTCAGTTTCCTGATCTGTGCACCGTGGGCCAGGATGGGCGCCCGGGGGCCCGTGAGGCCGCGTGTGAGACACCAGGCCTGCGGGCCTCTCCTCCTCGGACAGGCTGCCTTCTGGTCAGCTCACCCTTGGCCCAGCTGGCATCCAGACTCCATCAGCTGCCCCAGCACGCCCCAGGCCGGCCCACCCGCTGCCCTCTGCCCTGCCCCGCCCGCTCCTGGCTTTGGCTGCTGGCTGCGGGGCTGCGTCTCGGGGCCGAGGAGCCTTGGAGGAGCCCTGGCCCGCTCTGTTGCCCTCTCACTGCTGGGGAGACAGGAGCCAAAGAGCGGTAGAGAAGGGGCGGGGGGCCCTCCATTCTGAAGGCCGGCATCCTGCCTCTGGCACGGGCTGGGGGTCAGTGAGGCGGGTTGCAAGGAGGCCCGCGGGAAGGCCCCGGGGGACCGGGAGCGAGAGAGAGGAAGGCTGTGCCCTGCCCACCAGGCCCCGTGCACCCTTTCGGGAAGTATATGCTGAATTCCCGCAGCCCTGAAGTCAGGGGGTCTGCTCCCCTCCACCGGACTGTGGCCAGGCGGGTGTCTGTCCCCTGAGCCACACCGGAGGCACCTCGCGCACCCCATCTGGAGACTCAGACGCACCAGTTTGGAGGCGCGGGCCCAGCTCTGCAGAGACCTGGGCCTGAGTTCCACCCGGCGTCACTGGCTGGCGGCTCTTCCCCCTGTGGGTCACCGACGGTCCGGGCCCAGCGGGGCCCGGGAGATGGGGCCTCACCTTCCGTGGGTCCCCCTGCCGGTGCCTCGGTCCCAGAGCCATGTGCCTGGGGGTGGCCAGGGCCCCCCACCCCCCAGCCCCCTGCCTCACCAGTTTTTGGTGAGCAAATGAATGAATGAATGAGGCAGTGAGGGCACGACGGGATAGAGGAATCCTCCCTCAGGAGCCCAGAGGGAGAGCGCGTGTGCGGAGTGGAGCCTGTCAGCTCACGGAATACCAGACGGGGGACAATCGGGGACACTGTCCGTAGAAAGACACCAAGGAGCTCTGGAGGTCAGGGCGGCTGGCAGGAGCGGTCGACGTGTGTCTGTGCAGGCAGAGTGGCCAGCACAGCGATGGCCCCGCGGGTATGCAGACCCGAGAACGCAACGGTCGCGGACGTGGACCGAGCACCGCTGACCTGCACGCGGGCCTCAGGTAGCGCCGTCTGTCCCTCGGCTCTCCAGTTTCTCCGCGGAGACCCCGCCCCACGCGACCGCCCCCAGCCTGCCCGCGCAGGCGCACTTGCTCAGATAAGGGGGCGGGGTTCTAGCCCTCGAGGGGTGGAAAGTGAGTCAGAGCCCCTAGCTCCGTTCACGAACCCAGTTCAAGTCCGGGTGAATTCACGGTGTAACTATAACCAAGGAAACTCCTGCGGGAGCACAGGGGCCATGGTGGAGGCGGAAGCCTGGCCGGTGGAGAGGGATCTGGATGAAGAGAGAAGCAGACCCTGCTCAGGACCACGCGGCACAGTATGCAGGCCCGGAGAGTGTCAGAACGCTAAGGACAGCTGCAGCTGACCTTTCCAGAACAACCGGATCTGGCCTTTGACCGCCAGCCACCGCACACTTTACCACCTGGAGGCCTGGACCAATGAGTCCTGAATCCTGCCGCCTCGAGTGAGAGGCCAGAGAGAGGCAAGGTCCCCCCGTTCAGCCCCACCTCACCCTGCCTCTGCCTGGATGCCAGCCAGGACGACTGCCAACATCCACCTGGGTCACCGCTCGGGGCAGGTGTGGCCTCCCGGTGGCCCACCCGGACACCAGTCACTGAGCTGATGAGCTTGGAACCAGAGCTGCAGCCCCGCCCTGGCTCCCTCTGCTTGCGGGCTGCTGTCGGTGCGGTCCCCGGAGGTAGGGTCGCCAGGTCTAGCCAATAAAAGCGCGGGACGCTGTAGGAGTTGGATTTCAGATAAACAGGGACTACTTTCTCAGCCCGAGTATGTCCCGTGTCATATTTGGAACATACCTCTACTAAAAAACGTTGTCTTTCTGAAATTCAGGCCGAACCGGGCGCCCGGTGTTTTATCTGGCGACCCCTCCCCCAGACTGGAGCCGCGGCCCCCGCGCCCGCCCCTGGGTTCTCGGGCGTCCTCGGCCTCCGCCCGCCAGCCAGCCGGGCCCCTGCCCAGCGCCGGGCAGCGCTGCCCTCTAGCGGACGGACCCCGGGAGGGCGGAGGCGGGCCGGGAGGCGGGGCCAGGGCCAGGGGGGAGGAGCCCCGAGAGGCCACGCCCCGACGGGAAGCAAAGGCCCGGGGTTGACCCGAGCCGCCCGCCCGCCCGCGCCGCGCCCGCCGCGCCGCCCTGTCACCCCCTCCCCCCACCCCCCCGGGCTGCAAGCAGGTGCCCGCCCCGGTGGGTGGGTTCCAGCCCCGCGTTGGGCTCTGGGCTGACAGTGCGGGGCCTCCTTGGGATCCTCTCCTCCTCCCTCCCTCTGCCCCCGTCCCCCTCCTTCTCACGTGTGCCCTCTCGGTCTCTCAAAATAAATAACAGATGAGCGAGAAATAAAGAAAAAGTAAAACAAAGAAACCAAAAAGGCAGCGGGTCAACCCCCGGCCGCAGGGGCCCTTCCTTCCCCACTCCCATCCCAACACGACCAGCTCAAAGTCTGCCTGTGTGTTTGGCTTGGGACATGGTTTTGGGAGTCCCGGAACCCTGCCGGGGGTGGGGGCGGGGGCTGCAGGGGAGGAAATGTAAGTGAAAGTGGAGGCACAGTCTCCTTTACAAGGACTGCCGCACCTTGTGTCTGCCCCGAACAGGTCGTCGTAACATCGACACCATTTCCTCGTTGAATAGTGACTCAGAGAACATCTGCCTCCCCCCCCCCCCCCCAGCGGCCAAAGGTTGCTGTCCCCCAGGAGGCAGCCCGGGACAGCCTCGGGATCAGAACTGGTTGGGAGGCCAGAGGTCAGTGGCTGGGGGCCAGAGGTTGGGAAATGAGACAGAGGCACAGAGACAGAGAGAGTCAGGGCGTCTCCTGACTGGTGCCTCGCCTCCTGGATTCCCTTAGATGTCCTCTAGGCCTGCAGTCTGGAGCCCCCTCCTCCAGGGGGCCCTCTGGAACTTCCCCACCAGGTGCACCTCTCCTGCGCACTCGTCTGTCTTAGCCGCCAGGCAAGTAGTCCACGGCAAGTGCAGGGCCGGGTGGAATTCACACGTGCGTCCTGAGCACCTGCTCGTGGCTTCTTAGTGACGGCTGGCACTGAGTTCCAAGAGCAACAGATTACCAAGTAGGTGCTGCTGGGGAGTTGGAGCACGAGGTGAGGCGGGAGCACGAGTGAGTTGAATTCATGTTCTCTTGACCTTCCTCGGTGGGAATCCTGTCCCTCTAAATCAGGGATGCTGGGAGAGACTGCGGCTGTGCGGGGCGGGAGCCAGGGCCCCTGCCCTCGGGGCGGGGGACGCCTGCCTGCTCGCCTTGCACCTGCCCCGACAGAGCCCAGTTTGTTCCTCAGAGGCGGGGAAGCTCCTGGGAGCCATGTGAGCTCAGCGGCAGGGGCTCCTGCGTCCAGCAGTGGAGGACGGCGGCCGCCCAAAAAGACGTGTCCACATCCTCACCCCCGGTGCCTGGGAATGGGACCTTATTTGCAAAAAGGGGTCTCTGCAGATGTCTTGAATTACGGATCCTGACATGAGCGGGTCACCCTGGATTATCTGGGGGGGGGTCCCTAAAGCCAGTGACCACCATCCTCATAGGAGAGGCACAGAGGACAGACAGGCAGACACAGGGTGAGGCCACGGGACTCGAGCGAGGGGGCCACAGCCCAGGAGAGCCCGGAGACAGCAGGAGCCGAAGGAGGCAGGAAGCACCCTCCCCGAGAGCACCCGAGGGTGAGCACGGCCCTGCCCACACCTGCATTCTGGACTTCCAGCCTCAGAACACTGAGAATAAAGTTCTGCTAGGTTTTTTGAAAAATTTTTTAAATGTTTATTTTTGAGAGAGAGAGCAGGAGTGGGGGAAGGGCAGAGAGAGAGGGAGACACAGAATCCGAAGCAGGCTCCAGGCTCCGAGCCATCAGCACAGAGCCCGACGCGGGGCTTGAACCCACAGACCGCGAGATCACGACCTGAGCCAAAATCAAGAGTTGGTCGCTCAACGCTCAACGGACGGAGCCCCCCAGGTGCCCCTGAGCAATTCTCCTTAAACTGGAGCTTTGTGCAGGGGCAGCATTGTAGCCAAGGAGGTTTATCCGGGGTACGATTACTGCTAATTGAAGACTTTCCCCGGGGCACCAGGCTGGCTCGGGTCAGTGGAACATCCGACGCTTGACCTCAGGGGCATGAGTTGGAGCCCCACGTTCGGCATGGAGCTGACTTTGGAAGACAACGCCTTTTGGATTCTTTGTAACTTGTTTTTCTCTCAGAATAGTCTCCCCACGGAAGATGCATCCAATTCCAAAAGTGTCCTGTGTCCTCCACCCCCCAGGAACCCTCTACTCGGGGTCCTCTCGCACCCCAAGATACAGCAGGCTAAGACAGCGAACGGACCCACGGTCAGAGAGTCAGGAGAAGCCCGGTGATGCGATTACGGCTGAGGGTCCCTGTGACCTTGTGCCAAAACGTCAGCCAGGCTCAGGGTCCTTCGAAGACTTGACTGGGGCTGGGGGATTCACAGGCCGCCAGCTGCTGCTGGCCGCGGGCAGGACGCCTGGGCTCCGGGCCACACTGACCGCCTGCCTGGCCAGGCTGCTTCAGTGTCCTTACTGCCTGGGTGGCGGCTTCCCCAGGGCGAGGGGTCTGAGACAGCAAGGTATATGCCAACACCCCCACTGTGCCAGGAGGTGGGGTCTCTGGGGGCCCCCTGGGGGCCTGGCCACCACGGCCACATGGGAATAAAACCACGGTGGGAGACACTGAGGTCAGACCCAGGGCAGAACTTTCTTACTGTAGCACCAAACCCTGGAACCTTCCGGGTCTCCGGGTCCCTGCTGCATAGTCCCTTCACGACTCTCACGGGGGCTCTACGTGGGGGACGATTCCTCGGCGCCTAATGGATGGCCGACCTGGGTCTCCGAGGGGGTGAGCAACCCCTCAGAGCCACTCGCTGTAGGCCCGGAACCTTCTTTCTGATTCCACATCTCAGCCTTCAGCCACCCTCTGATGCCACTGCCCACAGCGTCTTGGGTGTCATGTGTGGTGGTCACAGCCACCAGCCTGCCCCGCCGTGGCTATCTCTGTCCCTCCCTCCACTCCCCCGCCCCACCCCTGCCCACATCCTGACCCCCTGCTGGTCTTGTAGGAGCTTCTCCAGGGATGCAGAGGTCACCAGGTCCCAGGCAGAGGCAGACTTGGCCCTGGGTGCAGGGAGTGGGGGGTCCGGGGGAGAGCCCGACATGGATCGGGTGTGGGGGTCAGGGTCTGACGGGGAGTCCCAGCATTCAGGGGGCCTGGTGACCTGTCAGACAGGGAGGGGGGCCTCTGTGCGGTGGGCCGAGGGGCGGCTCACAGAATAAGGTCAGTCCTTGGCCCCAGAGGACCGTGCCACCCGGAGGGAGAAGCAGTGGGCTAACCCCCCCCCCCCACACCCACCAGGATGGCACCCTCGGAGTTTTCATAGTTAGGGGCCCATGGCGGTGCCAGGCGGGGCCCTGCCCAGCATTTATCACGGAAAACAGCTAAAGCCTTTGACCTGCAGGTACCCGGCCGAAAGTTAATCATTAAGGAATGGGGCACAGATTCACCCAGAAGTCCACTCACCCAGCCCTGACGCAGGAAGGAGGAAGGTCAGACAATCCTAAACACCCACCAGGAGGCAACGGGTTACGTAAATCAGGGTCCCTTCAGGCAACAGAACATTGCGTCACCCTGGAAATGGCGCGGGGGCCCTGGGCTCTCAGACCCGAGCTTGGTCCGTTCTAACGGAGAAGCGCGTGCCCCAGGGTCCCGGAGGAGGTCTGCCCCAGGGACACAGGGGCCGCGGAGGTGCCCCTCGGGAAGTCCAAGGCGCTGGGGAAAACCAGTCTTTCTGGGGCCCAAGGGAAGCCTGTCTTTACCATGACGGTTAGACCATCTCTGTGATGTAGCATCAGAACGAACACACAGCATTTCGGACTTCACTGCCAACTGCGGGTCCCCGGGAATGGGACTGAGGACTCTGGTTCTACTGAGAGAAGCAGGTCAGGGAGCAGTGGGGGGGGGGGGGGCCGCGCAGGGGCACACGCCACCGCGGGGGCTGAACCGCACTCCATCCACACGCGCGCGTGCAAACAGCACTCGCGGCTGACACGACAGGCGCTCGCTTCTCCGGGTTCCGGAGCCAGGACGCTGGAGGTCAGGGTCGGCTCCTGGTGAGAACTCCCCGGGCTTGCAGACGGCCACCTTCTCTGGGTGTGCGCACCTGTGGGGAGAGGTGGGGAGATGGGGGGGGGGGAGAACCGGGGGCACTAACCCCATCACCCCCAGTCCCCTCCCAGCAGCATCACCTGGGGGGTTAGAGCTCAGGCTGTGGAGCTGGGGACGGGACTCGGGCCACAGGAAGGCTTCCCCCCTTTTACGAAAAGCGGTCACAGGTACAGTCGGCTGAAGATGAGCTAACTACACACGGGAGGTTTACACACACACATACACACGCGCCCCTTAAAAAAGTCCCCTCAAATCACAGGGAAGTTTGCCAAAGTACCCCCCTGTGGCACCCCCAAAATTATTCTGGGTCGGTCTGTCGCGCCCACGTGGTTCTCTGCGGGTTCCCGGTGGCCCTCTCTGCCGGAGTCAGGCCGGGAGGCCGGTGCCCCCGCGGGACAGAGCTGGACCCAGGCCCCCCGCCCTGGGCTTCTAGCTGCGCCCTGGGCTGGGAGAGAGTCACCCGAGCCAGGGGCCGGGACTCCTACCTCCCTCGCGCCCCCTTCCTAAGGAATAAAGCCAACTTTTGGTCACTTAAAAATGCCGAAATACATACGCGTCATTACAAAGCGGACAGGGGCCCCCTCCCCCTCCCAGCCCATCCCCCAAGGGGAGCGCGGTTAACCAGCCTGCTTCCGAACACAAACACGCACACGTTATGCCGGTGCGGCCGCACGCACACCACGGGCTCGCCGCCCACGCACACGGAGGCACGCACGTCTGTTCGTCACAAACACGGTATCATTGTACACGGAGCGCTTTGCGATTTGCTTTTGTCGTTGTAGCGGGTTGAGCGGTGCCCCCACGCGGCAGTTATGTCCGCCTGGAACCCGAGTGTGACCTTTGTGATCTTGGCAGAGGTGCTCGAGGATCTCGAGGGGAGATCGCCCCGGATCACCTGGACGGGCCCTGCTCCCAGCCGCTGCCCTTGCAAGAGGAGAGGACACCGCGGGGATCGGGGATCGGGCTGGGGCCCGGATAACTCCTGCCCCTGGCCCCCATCCCCTGCAGACAGAGATGGCCGGCGCCTGGGGAGGTGGCCCTGAGCTCCTGCCAGTATCCAAACCATCCTGCCCCGCCCCCCCCGCCCCCACCTGGAGGCCCTGAGAACTCCCAAGCTTCCTCCCCTCTCCAGAAGCCCCCCCACACTGAGAAAGTGACCCTCCTCCCTGCGTGCCTGGAGCCCCCACCCCTGATGGGGAGGTGGCCCCCCAGACGAGCCCCCCCTCCCCCCGCCCCCGCCTCCTTATCCCAGCCGGAGTGAGCCCTCTGGGCCACGCACTCACCGGCCGTTGGTCTGCGCCCCGTCCACGGTGATCCTGGGCCTTCCGGGCTGAAGTTCCACATCCAGAGCCCTCGTCAAGGGCCCTCAGGACCCCGTGCCAGCTGAGACCTCCAACCTCACACCTGCTGTGGTGTCTGCGGTTTCATACCTGTCCGTGGCCTCTGGGCCTCTGCGTACTCTGTTCCTCTGCTGGAACCGCACTCCTGCCCGGCCGCCCCTGTCCCTCATCCTGGAGGTCCCAGACATCACCCTCCCTGGGCCTGGCCTGGGTCCCCACCACGTGCTGGGCTCCTCATGCTCACCCCTCCCAGGGGACGACGTGGCCCCTGACCTCGGTCCAAAGGTCAGCGGGGCCCAGGGCAGTGGGATGGGTTATCCCTGGAAGGGCAGTCTTCCCGGGAGCCATTTTCCCTGTGACATACTTGCGCTCAAGACTACGGGGTACCAGCACCCGGGAGTTTTAGTCGGACGTGCGACTATCCAGAGGAAGACAACGTTTCCCAGCCATCTTTGCAGCAAATAAGGTCATGTGACTAAGCTTACAGGCACTTGAACAGAAGTGATAGATTATTTCCAGGTCCTTAAAGGGAGAGGCGTGCTTTTCACTTCTTTGCTCTTCCTCCGTGCTGGAGTGTGGAGGTGATGGCTGGAGCTGCGGCAGCCATTTTTGACCACAAGACAGAAACCATGTCTTGAGGACTGCAGCACAGAAGGCAGGAGTTTAAGTTCCTGACAACAGGGGTTCTCAGCCCTTGGATGCTTACCCTCTGAGCACAATGTGAGAGATAAATAAACTCTTCTCCTGAATAAGCCACTTTTATTTCAGGGCCCCTTGGTGACACCTGTTATGCTTCATGAATTCTTGGGCCTGTGATGTAGACGATGTAACTACTCGATCTGTGTAGTGAGTTGGATAGTGTCCCCCCAGACTCATATCCACTTGGAACCTCAGAATGTGGCCTATTTGGAAATAAGAGTCTTTGAAGGCCAGGTGTGAAGACGCAAAGACAGAGAGGGGACACACAGGGGGACGGCCGCCATGTGACAATGCAGGGGAGAGACGGCAGCGATGCAGCCACAGGCCAAGAAGCACCAAGGATGCGGGAGAAGCAGGAAGGACCCCCCCCCGAGGCCCCCCCAGGGATGCCCCCCCCCACCTCCGTTTCAGACTTCCGGTCTCCACAGCCGTGGCCGAATGGATTCCTTTTGTCTTCCGCGGGCCGTCTGTGATACTTTGTTACAGCAGGCAGTTATGCCCTAGGAAACCAACGTGGTGTGCAGGGTATTCCGGTGTGTTTTTGCTCTTTTGCAAAATTACAGATTAATGACGCCCCTTCTGGGTGCTGTGGACTGTAGGAATAAATGACAGCTGCTGACCGTGTGGGGCCTCTTGTGCTCGCGCATGGCGGGCGCCTGCTCTCTCACCCCACCCACCAAAACTCATCTGCCGAAGCAGCTGGCGCTTCCCAGTCGGGCGGGCCGCCGTTGCCACGGGGATCCATCATGGCGACACCCCGTGTCACCGATGGGATGCAACACACGGGACTTTGCACTGACGCAGACCTGGTCACCGCACACCAGACCCGACTCCTGCCCAGGGCTGGCTCACCGTTGGGTGGGGGGGTGGGTAGGCGGACACGGCCTGGGCGGGCGACCCTAGCTCCTGGCAAATGACTCCATCAGACTTGGACCCTCCCTCGGGCTACGCATCTTGCCTCCGACCTCACCCCTGCGCTGCTTCTCCAAGCCAAGGAGCTGAGGGGCCGTGGGTTTCGCCTGCAATCTGCAAGGTGCTTCTTTCATCACAAAGCACGCCCCGTGGCGGGCCGGGGCTCGCGGTGGCCGGGCCCTCCACGCGTCCTGCCGCCCCAGCACGTGGTGTTGCTGACCCTTCCCCAGGGTTCGCTTATGAGGATTTCTGACTCCACCTCTGTGCCCTCTTCCGGCCTGAGCACCAGGGCTGCCCCCAGGCAGGCACACGTCCGCTTGATCCCCTCCTGGGTAATGACCAGGACGAAAGGGTGGGGGTGGGGCTGCATAGGTCTTCTTCGGATATGCAGTATTCTACCCTGACCCTCCTGAGCAGGATGCTTTGTCTTTCCTCCCAGGGCACCCTCTGGCCGGCCAGGGGGCCCATGGGACGCAAAGTTGATGCTGGTCGAACAACCTGGACCCCCCAGCGCGACTGTCCAGGCCCTAGACCCAAGGACAACCTGGTTGAGGACACTGGGTGCCTGCAGAAATCACTGGCCATCTGCTCGCTGCGATTTTCTGGAACACCAGCCTCCCGGGTGCCGGGGACAGCCGTGCACTGACTGTGTCTCACTGGGAGCACTCAAACTGCAAAACCACACGGGAGTTCATCTTTTCCACAAATGCGTTCGAATAACTAGATAGCCATGTGCAAAAAAGCCCAACAAAGAAAAATCCCAAAACACAGAACCAAAAACCAAACTGCTCCCTTGATCTATCTCCTGCACCACGTACAAAAGTTAGCTCTAATGCAATCGCTGACGTACATGTAAAACTTAATACAGTAACTCCCCCCCCACCCCCATCCACCGGGGATACATCCCAAGACCCCCCAGTGGATGCGGATGGTACTGAACCCTACATGGGCAGACCTATGTTAAAGTTTCATTGGATGGGGCGCCTGGGTGGCGCAGTCGGTTAAGCGTCCGACTTCAGCCAGGTCACGATCTCGCGGTCCGGGAGTTCGAGCCCCGCGTCGGGCTCTGGGCTGATGGCTCAGGGCCTGGAGCCTGTTTCCGATTCTGTGTCTCCCTCTCTCTCTGCCCCTCCCCCGTTCATGCTCTGTCTCTCTCTGTCCCAAAAATAAATAAAAACGTTGAAAAAAAAATTAAAAAAAAAAGTTTCATTGGTAAATCAGTGGCTGAAACAGTAACAGTAACTAAAAGTTGAATGGCTCTAGCAATATGCCGTAATAAAGTAACGGCTGCGGGCTCTCTGTCACAACATCTCACTGCCCTGAGGGGGCCCCTCTCCTGAGGCTCTGGGAGGATGAGGTGCCCACGTGATGGGATGAAGGCGGCCAGGAGATCTGCCAGGAGGGTCACGTGGTTCTGGACCCCGGCGACGGGTGGGGGGGGGCGGGAGGGGGTGGTAAGCGGCAGACACAGCTGTTGCAAAACCTCTAGAAGAAAACCCAGATGTTTGCACTGCTCAGTTAGGCAAAGATTTCTTAGATGTGACAGACGTGAAATGCACAAACCACAGGAGGAAAAAATGGGTCACTTGGACTCCGTCGACCTCAGGAGCTTGCGCTCTTTTATGTTACTTCATTTCCTTTTTTTGGGATCTTGCGCTCTTTGAAAGACACTCAAGGGAAACAGAAGACGAGCCACAGACGGGGAGAAAATCTTTGCAGATCACCTGTTTGATAATGTCGCGGCAACGATGATAGAAAGGACTCTCAAAGCTCAATGACAAGGAAACAACACAGTAAAAAGAAAACAGGGGAAAATACATTTAAAAACATAACACGTTTTAGCAGGGAAGCCATACGGGTGGTTAAGAAGCTCCTGGAAAAAAAAAAAAAATGTTCGACACCGTCAGTCGACAGGGAAATGCGGGTCCAGCCACAAAGAGACACGGCGGCGCGCTCGCCAGCGCGGCCAGAGCTCCCGCTCCCGCCAGCAGGTGCCGCGAGGACCAGGACCCGGGGCGACGCCCCGCTGACCGCAGCCCGGCGGAGTCCGGGCTCACATCTCTGCCAGCCTCCTCCGCGCGGGAAGGGAAAACGCACCCTCTCACAAAACCCAAGGCGACGTTGAAGGCAGCCGGGCCCCCGCCCCTGCCCCCCACGTCCGCGGCAGCGCCGACCGAGCCCGGCACCGGTGCGGGCGCGCGGCTCCGCGGGCACACGGGCGCTCAGTGAATTTCTGGCTTCTGCCGGCGACAGGCCAGACCCCAAGGCTGTCCCTGCTCTCTTCCGTTTATGGGCCGCGGGGGCGCCGATCAGGGCCGGGGCTGCGCGGGCTCGAAGGGAGGGGGCCCGCTGGTGGGGGCGCTGCGGGGCTGCAGGCAGACACCCCGGCGGAACCGCGCACAGAGAAGGGCGCACTCACCGCGTTCCCCGAAAAATGGAAGAAGCGGGCCAAGGCTCGCCCTGCGTCCGTCCACCCCTCCTCCGGGCCCGCCGGGTGGCTGGCGCCGGACGCCCCCTCCGCGCCCCCTCGCGCCCGACCCCTCCCCAGGGCGCCCTGCCGGCGGCCGGCTCGTCCCTCCGCCCGGCGGGTCCGCCG